ACTTGCTGGTCAGGCTGGCCCGGCCGGCGTGGGGCCTCGCTGGGTGCAGGGAAGGACACCAGGCGGAGCCTCGGTTGTTGTCCCAGCTGGAGTCAGGAACTGAATGGGGGCGTGCCTGAGAGGAATGACAACAGAGCTGACTACGTCAGCAGGCCAAGGTAGTGCAGGTGCAGGGGGCACGGGGCTTCCGGGACTAGAGTCTCATTCTGGCTAGAGGATGGGGGCTGGGCCTGGGGAGCTCGTGGAGGTAGGCGGGGATGGCAGCTGAAGTCGGCCAAGAGGTTGGGACGTGACTGTGCCAGAGTGGGGAGCCAGCCACTGAAGGGGTAAGCAGGGGCGGGCGTGAGCCCATTCAGAGCTGCTTGACAGAGAAGCTGGACTGCTGTGGGCAGACCCAGGGAAAGGCAGAGTCAGCCGCCCACATGCTGGACCTGGTGGTCCTCCCTGGCAATGGACCCCCAAAGCAAGACCTGCAAGGCAAGGCAGCCCAGCATGACGCCCAGCAGCCCCGTCTCAAGGACACGGGTGGGCCCCAGACCTGTCAGAAATGAAATAGCAAATAGGACTGTGAAAGGTTAGGAACAGAGAGCAAAGGTGCTGGTTTTGTGCTTTCATGTAATGTAATTGAAATTGAGCAGGGGCTGGGCATGGTGGCTCATGCCTGTAATCCCAAGCACTTTGAGAGGCTGAGGAGGGAGGATCGCTTGAACCCAGGAGTTCGGAACCAGCCTGGGCAACATAGCGAGACCGCTTCTCTACAAAACAGTCAAAAAATTAGCCGAGCATGGTGGCACGCACATGTAGTCCCGGCAACCTGAGTGGCTGAGGCAGTAGGATTGCCTGAGCCCAGGAGATAGAGGCTGCAGTGAGCTGTGATCGTGCTACTGCACTTTAGCCTGGGCGACAGAGTGAGACCCTGCCTCGAAAACGAAACTGACCTCAAAAATAAACAGTGTTTAGGCGGGCGAAGTGGCTCATGCCTGTAATCCCAGCACTTTGAGAGGCAGAGGTAAGAGGATTGCCTGAGTCCAGGGTTTCAAGACCAGCCTGAGCAAATTAGTAAGACTTCGTCTCTAAAATAAATCAAAAAATTAACTGGGCGTGGTGGTGCATGCCTGTAGTCCCAGCTACTTGGAAGGCAGAGGTAGAAGGATCACCTGAATCAACCTCCTCAACCTGAGGAGGTTGAGGCTGTGGTGGCTGTGAGCATGCCAGTACGCTCCAGCCTGGGTGACAGAGTGAGACTCCGGCTCCAAAAAATAGATAAATAGAAATAATAATAAAAAGCAGTGCTTGTCAGATGAATAGCTTGCAAATACTTTCTCTCATTCAATAGCTTGTCTCCTCACTGTTGATTAATTTTGCTGGGCAGAAGCTTTTTAGGTTAACATAGTTTTATTTGTCTATCTTACTTTATTTATTTTTTATGTATTTATTTATTTTTGAGTCAGAGTTTCACTCTGTTGCCCAGACTGGAGGGCAGTGGCACGCACACAGCCACCGCAGCCTCATCTTGCTGGGCCCCAGCGATCCTTCTGCCTCAACCTTCCAAGTACCGGGGACTACAGACACATGCCACCATGCCTGGCTAATTTTTTTGATTTATGGTAGAGATGAGGTCTCGCCAAGTTGCCCAGGTGAGTCTCAAACCCATGGGCTCAGGCAGTCCTCTCACCTCAGCCTCCCAAAGTGCTGGGATT